GAAAAAAATAAAAAAGACCAGGGATGTAGTAAAGTGCCCTTGGATTCAATCCTCAGTACTGAAGAAAAGGCCTTAGTATCTAAAGCAATTTTACAGACTCAGTCCAATTCCTATCAAAATTTTAATGACTTTTTTAAAGAAATAGGAAAAATTCTAAAATTCATTTAAAACTTCAAAGCGCCCAAAATAGTCAAAACAAACTTAAGAAAGAAGAACAAAGGTGGAAACCTATTTTTTAATTTCAAAATATATTACAAAAGTGTAACAGGCAAAATAATATAGTGACTGAGGCAAGGTGCCAGCACTCACAAGGCTGAGGCAAGAGGATTCTGTGTTCAAGGCCAGCCTGAGCTACAGAATGAGACCCGGCCTCAAGAAAAAATTATTGGGCCAGGGAGATGGCTCAGTAGAATAAGAGCTTTCCTGGCAAGCGCAGGGGCCTGAGTTCAATCCCCATTTCCACCAGAAAAATAAAAATAAATTAAAAAAAGAAAAAAATCATTATATTGGCACAAATACAGATAAATAGACCAATGGAACAGAATAGAAAGACCAGAAATATTCCTTATGTATAACTTGAAATAATATAATACAGGACGCCAGTACCAATATTGTAAAACAGGGCCGGAGAGATAGCTCAGTAGAATAAGTGTTTGCCTGGCAAGGTCCTGAGTTCAATCCCCAGTACTGGAAAAAAAAAAAAAAAAAAAAAAAAAAAAGTACAACAAAAATAGAATATCTTCTTCAGCAAATAGTTTTTTTGTTTTGTTTTGGGGTGGGGTTTTTTTGTTTGTTTGTTTGTTTTGGCAGAACCGGGGGTTGAATTTAGGCCCTTGCACTTGCCAGAAAAGTTCTTATTCCAGTGAGCCATCTCCCCGGCCCTAACAAATAGTTTTGAAAAAAACAATAGCAATGCACAAAAGAATTAAGATAGACCTTTATCGTATGGTCTGACGATAAGGACTGAAACTGTAGTTGGATGGGATGGTGCCCCCAGGTTCTGGGGAGCTAAGGACTCTTTCCAGAGATTCTTTCTCGGTTCTCAACCTGAACAAAGAACTGGATAAAGACAACCTCAAAAGGTAGTGAAGTTTTACACTTATTAAAAGTAGGAAAAGAGCTAGGGAGATGACTCAGTGGCATAAGCACCTGCCTAGTAAGCGCAAGGTCCCAAGTTTAATCCCTGGTACCACAAAAAAAAAAAAAAATTAAGGGCCGGCCAGATAGCTCAATGGATTAAAATGCCTGCTTAGACAGAGCATAGGGACTGGGGTTCGATCTGCAGCACCATATGCCACACTGGCCTTGCCCCCGGGTCACACTGAGCCAGCCACCAAGACCAGGCATGGTGGCGCTCACCTGTAATCTCAGCACTAAAGAGGCTGAAAACAGGAGGATCACTAGAGTCTGAGCTGCGTAGTGAGACCCTGTACCAAATACATAAACAAAACAAACAAACAAAAAGTAGGAAAAGAGATGCAGAGGAAATGCTGACCAATTAAAAGTGGGAAAAGAAGCCCACGCTTCGGGGTGCGAGCAGAGCTCCGTGAAAGAGACAGCACAGCAGCTGAGAGCTCAGGACACCCCTGTACACCTCCTGCCTCTAGAGCATCTCATCCAAGCCTGCTGGGGCTCTCCCAAGAGAGAAGAACAGAAGATAGCACTTTCTGGTTGGTCCCAGGTGCAGGGCTTGGAACTGCTTCTCTGTATGTGTTCTGACTGAGAAACACAGAGGCGTGATTCTCCATCAAGCCCCCCGGCCCAGCCAATTTTCCACCCCCGAATTGCAATCCCAATACTGTGGGAGACTGAGTCGGAAGGAGCAAAGTTTTGAGCCCACTGTGAGCAACTTAGCAACTTAGCAAGATCCTGCCTCAAGATAGAAAAGACTGAAGACATAGCTCATTAATTGCAAAGGTCCTGGGTTCAATCCTCAGTACTGAAAAAGAAATTGAAACTATAAATATCTTAGAAAAAAACCATAGGGGAAATGCTTCTCGGATGATACCAAAAATACAAATAGAAAAGGATAAAGCAGACAAACAAATGTCATTAAATCAAACACAAAAACTTCTTCCTACAAAGGCATCAGTCAACAGAGTCAAAAGGCAACCTACAGAAAATGGGGGAAAACATTTTGCAAACTGCTATTGAGTGAGAAGCTAATATACATAATATGTGAAGAATGCTTACAATTCACCACCACCAACAATAAATCCAGTTTTTTAAATGGGTAAAGGACTTAAAGAGACATTTCTCTGATAAGACACATAAATGGCCACAGCACAGGAAAAGATACTCAATCTTTTTTGGGGGGGGGTGGGGGAGGGGACTGGAGATTGAACTCAGGACCTTGCGCTTGCCTGGCAAGTGCTTATTCCACTGAGCTAACTCACCAGCCCCTCAATCTTATCACCTTATCAGGGAAATGCAAGTCAAAACCACAATGGAAGGTAGGAAAGGAGGATGAAGACTGGTTGATGGTTGTCAAAATAGAGTTAGGTAAGAAAATTAAGTTTCAATGTTCTTCTGCACTGTAGGGTGACTATGACTGACAGTACTTTATAGCATATTTCAAAAATAGCTAAAAGAGAGGGCTGGCCAAATAGCTCAGCGAATTAGAGCGCCTGCTTAGGCAGATGAGGGGTGTGAAGGGGTGATGGGGGGGCAATCTCCAGCCTGTCTTGCCAGCCCCGCCCCCAGGGCATGCTGAGTGGGTGATTGAGACTGTTTGTGGTGGTGCCCACCTGTAATCCCAGCACTTGGGAGGCTGAAAAACAGGATCACTACAAGTCCGATCTGTCTAGTGAGATCCTGTAGACCCTGTACTAAATACATTTAAAAAAATGAAGATTTCTCAAAAAAGTGAAATAAACTTCTGGAGCCATTCTGGAAATTCTTTTTCATGACTATCTTTGCCAGATGTGATTAATAACGTGGTCAGTGAATGCTGCTGCCAAGTGCCTTCCAAGAGAAGTATCAAAGTGTGTCTTCACTCACCCCACTCACCCTATCTGGCAACTCCTCCGAATGACCACAGAAGACAAATGTTATTAATTCAGGACAATGAGGCAGCTACAACCATACCACTAAAACTGTCATGAAAGAGGACTTCCAAAACTGCTTCAGAAGGTGCTAAGAATACGGGGATAGTTGGGTTCAAAGGAAGGAGGATTGTATGTCTTTAACTCTACTTTTTTTCACTTAAGCATTCACTGTATTTTTCAATCGTATCTAATAAACTCATAGAAACAGAAAGCAGAATGCTGCTTACTGGAGGAGAGGGAAACAGGGTTGCTCAATGGGTGCAGAGTTACAGTCATAGAGATGATGAAGTGCTAGAGAGCCGTTGTTCACATACATGGCCTGCAGTCCGGGTACTCCAGAGACTGAGGCTGGAAAATCACATCAGCCTGGGAGCTTGAGGTCAGTGTGGGGAAACCTTGCTGTCTCTTTAAAAGAAAATTTAAGCCCCAGTATGCATATAGTTAATAATACTGTAAGGTACATTTAAAAGTAAGGTAGGGCTGGAGAGATGGCTCAGTGGTCTAAAGCACCTACTTGGAACAAGCTTAGCAAAGCACAGGGACCACGGTTCAATCCTCCAGTACCACATGCCAGCCAGCCCCGCCCACTGGTGGGCTGAGTTGGACACACACACACACACACACACACACACACACACACACACACA